TTTAATTATTCTCTCAATTAATGTGACATTACCCCATACATGTTTTTATGTTTCGAGATTGTTCATTGTGTTGTTAGCTACGAGCATTTACCACGTTTACTTTTTAAGTGCCTCCTAGTAAGCATCGTTCTTATCAGTACGAGTATCTCGGCATGGCCTTCACCCAGTATGAACTAGTAAGCAGCTCTCGAAGATTATATCTAAGTGCAGAGGGGCCATGAGAATGTGTGTATGTAGAGCGATGGATATGTCTACCTTGGAGCTCACCCCCAAAAGGGTAATTATTCGCATTTAAGGGAAGTTACATACATATATGTAACCCCGAGAATCTAGAAAATTGTTCATCGATCAGATATGTATGTATGCTCCCCTTGCGTGTCCTTTGTTACTGTCTCCATTGTAAACGGAACTTATATTGGCAAAATAGCTATGCAACGGTTATACTAGAGTTCTGGGGATTGAGTTTGGATTAATGGCTACGGGGCGATTCCTTCACAAATTGGATTTTACAGTGCATTGACTTGCAAGACCTAGAATTCTTTTACTAAGAGACTTCATTGACTTTTAAAATGTTAGAGCTCCGAGATTGTTGGCCAGAGGTCAATGAACTACCGTCAACATATGACTGTCTTAGCCCATTATCAGTCACTGTACCCAAGCAGGTACAGAAAAACAGCCAAATTTAAAGAATTTTAGCGCCGAACTGGTGAAAGATATCGCAATAAATATTTTTTTTAAATAAAGAAGAAGGATAAAGCTTTAAGTAGAATTTTTAAAGAACATAATTTCCCGGGGTTTACTTACAAAAATTAACCAGTGAAAATAAAAGGTTCAAATAGAAAACATAATGGGTTATCGCCGAAATTCGTTCTTAGTGGGTATCTCCTAGTCGCAATACTTTGTTTCGAGCCACTTTCCAGCTCTTTTTCAGCACAATTTTGTAAGAAAATTGCATGTGAAGTTTTCCGCTGCCTGCCTGCTCTTTATCGTTGAGCTTTTCTGTCAAACGCACACGAAGAATGTCAAATGAAATGTTTTCATCATTTTCCTCGCTCTCAATATTTTTAGTACTGCGTGCTTTCGAGCAATTATTATGTTATGTTTTGCTTTGCTTTTGAGTTTATTTTTTGTATTTTTAAAGCATTAAATGGGGCGCGGACTTCCCTTCCACAAGGGGCTAACAATTGGCCAAGTATTGACATTGACAGTCATCCAACGACGGATAGTGTGACGTCACCAGCTGGAGTACAAAAAGAGTAGACTAGCAAGCAAAGCGTGTGACATGCACACACATCATACAGATTACGTGGTTGTCGAGCATTGCAGAGCATTCCGACTGCAGCATACCTTCTAGCCGTAGTATACGTAGGAAGTCGTGAAAGTCGGGAAGTCAAGACTCCCTTTTCCGGAAAGCCAATACACCCTTGCACTCCACGAGTACGGGGCATAGAAACGAAGTCCACAAGTGGACACTGAAAAGAGTGGAGGCTAAGAATGGAATCTAGGGTAATTTGTAATTAATGTAAAATGAATGGTCAACGAACACGCGGACTGCGGCTAAGAGAGGGGGGTGGCCAGAGAGTGGGTGACTTTGTCAACGTTTTGCCTCAAGAAAATAAAACTGCAAAGACGACTTCTAGTAGTGTGTATAATTGCAAGAGTTGTCTGTGGAATGGGGCAGTGTCCGGAGATGGCAACGCCCGGACAAAGTTCAAGTGCCAGCCAGCCGCCAGACTTGGCAATGAAGCTGCTAATGAACGTAGCGGGGGCACCGAGGGCGGGGGACCTAGTGCGGAATGAGATGATAGCAAACTTGGAATTGAGTTCTCTCTTCAAGAAGCTCTATTTTATTATTCATGTAAGGCGATTAAGATCGGGCAATTCGTTTAGATCCCAGAAACTTCGAGAAAGTCAAGGGGAGGACTTTTACTTGTATCAACAGCACTACGATACGTTAGTTATACGATAGTTGACAGTCAAACCAGATATGGTAATGGTTATGGCAGAGCAGAAAGACCTTCTAAACGAAAGAATGCTTCGATTTGAATGGGAAATTTCATTCCATTGAGGAATTTACTAATTAAAATTGTTAATTTTGTTTTCCTTATCGATAATCGAGTGTATGGAGTATGCAATATCTAGTCAAGATGATCACAATTCCCACGACACATTCCATGTATGTGCCCCATGGACCACACCCAGTAAATTTTCAACCATCAGCTGCTTGTCGTCTATCGCAGCAAATGGTAATGTTTGTTTTCAAGTGCCAGAACATGCGTTTCATTCGCAATAACCATGACAACAATGGCAACATTGAAATTTGCAATATGATGGAACCGATGGAACCCAGAGACGACGGCATTGAAGTCGAATACGAGAACGAATACAAACACGATAATGTGTGCCAAGTTAACGCAAGAAAAGCAAATGCTACTTGATGGAACAAATGCAGAGACAATAAACATTTGGAGTCAAATGGAAACCCAAATCGAAATCGAAATGGAAAACAAAATAAGTAGCAGCAGCAACAGGCCGCCAAGAGCTGCTCCCAGTTCGTGCCCCTCTCAGAGTCGACCCCATATGGCTGTCAGGCAACAGCTGCAGAGCTCCCCCATCGGACATATGTACATATTGTATCCATATATCGATAGACAATCCGAATTATAATGCCAGGCAGCAGCCATTACCGATGCGTGCATGGCCCATGAATTAGTGGCAAGCGACACGCGGGTTAAACCCCTTGTGTCTCTTCTTCTGGCCATTTCATATTCATAGGCAACGGGGGATTGCCGGGGGTACGGCGTAACTGAGCCGCAGAATCAACACGTGTCTCGTGGCGGGGGCTCGGACGGAGCTGAATGAATCGATGGGACGTACGCCGGGCTCTGGAGGGAAGCTCCAGTAAATATATTTCGTATTATTCATATAATATAATAAATAAAGAGGAGAAAAGAAGACATATATTCTGTGCAATCTGTGACTTCGTCATCTATGTGGCTTTTATTTCCCCTGTAGGCACTGTAGGGGCACTGTGCATTAAATTCCCATACAATACAGACGCGTTTCCATCAGCATTATTACGCCATTCGACATCTGCTCCGACAAGCATTTACTGTTCTACAAAATAGTAAAGTACTTTCCTTTCCTGATGCTCCCACTTCTACTATTTTTTTGTTATCGTCATTAGAAGGCTCTGTTATCGGGCGGATGTACATACATATACCCTTTGGGGGGGGATATAGTAATTTTATCCGCGTGCCTGCAACGTTTCCCTTGGATGTAGCTTGTGCCACGGAATCTTCTGGCTATATAAAAGGGTCTGCCCGAAGGACCAGGAAGTGTATGCAAAGCTGCGCCCTCGTCGTGCTCTTGTTTTGCTTTGCTGTCTGTTTGCCAGAGGAGGGAGACGGGGATTGAGTGGGGAGGAGGATGCTGTGTTTTGTGGGGTAGGTGTGGCCGGACCCACTTGAGGCTGTCGGCCTCAGTGGCACAGCTGTCCGTCCGTTTATCGTTCCATAGCTCTCAGCTCTCTTTTTCTGGCATACTGGCAAGCATCTCCTGTCTCTTATTAGCCCACATTCTGTCCGGATGTGTTTTCCGTTGGAGGCATAATATTTTCGCATGCTTTCTTTTCCTCTCCCACGCTCTCTGTCTCTCTCTCTCTCTCTCCGTACACTCTTTGCCCTCTGTTCTGTGCCTTGTTTTTGGCAAAGAGAGGAAGAATTAAAAAACTTTGTTCATGCCAAATTACGTCATTACTGCTGATCTTTTTTCTGTGTGTGTTGTTGTTGGCTGTTGTGCGCGAAATTAGCAGTTTTTTTTTTTATTTTCGAGTTTGTTGCTTTTTGTTATATTTTGCATTAGTAATACCCTTGAATACGAGTCGAGTATGTGCGGATTAGATCAGAAGTCCGCCATCAGAGCTTACTTAAAATAGGTATTGTGTTTTACCTATGACATAGATCCCAGGCAAAACATATGTACATAAGTAGAAGGAAAATTAAAACTACTTAGAACTTTTGAAGCTCATTGTAAATTTTCTTGCCTCAGAGAACACTCCAACAGAGATCTCCTGCTGGAGTTGGAGCTGCTTGCCGTGTCCCAGAATTGGATTCCAGATACATATTGACTTCAGGTTGGTCTTGTGTCATATAGGGACTCAAGAGTACAGGAAATTGTATTCTGTGTCATTTCATAGTTTTTTTTTATTCCAGATGTAGGATTATGTGGAAGATCCCTGTTGTCCCAGATCGTGTCGGAGTGAGCTGTGCCGCCCCTCAAATGTTGAGATGTAGAAATGTAGAAAAGCTTATTAAATTTGATTAAAAAAGAGATTTTAAACGCCTTAGTGGTGTCGAAGTGCCTTTAGCTTCCATCGTTTATCAGTATTCGATTTCCGTTCTCCCTAAACGTTCTCTATTGTTTCCTTTCCTCTGGCCCCAACGATTTCTAGACCATTAGCTTAAACTGAATTCGAATAAATGCCACATTATGTGCCATTGAATGTGAATTACACATTTATCCATAAGCCAACTTGTCCAACGGTGCCGACGCCCTCTTCTCCACTCTCCCTCTCCCTCTCTCTCTCTCTCTTATCGCCTTAAAGCCACTCCTTGCAGCAGGAAAATACGGAAAAGCGGAAAGGCGGATAGGCTAAATTGAAACTAACCCAACCCAAGGAAGTATAGCGTGCGGCGCTACCAGTTGCCACGCCCACACCATAACCCCATAACCCCGTTGGGCGGGAGGGGGACACTGTGGACCGAGTGGGGGAAGAGTCAGAGTTTGATTTCATTACTTTTCAGTGCTCGTTTTTCCAGTGCTAATTAAAAGTGTGTCAATGTTTATATCCGTAAATTGCTTTTTTCGAGTAAGCTTAATTAAGGACTAACAACTTTGGCGGCGAAAAGTTGGTGGGAGGAGGAGCAGGAGTTTGGCGCAGCTTTAACTTTAATTTCCAATCTATTTATCCTCTATCCTTCGCCTTTTTGTGCTTCCAGCTGCCCTGCACTGCTTGTGGCACACAAATTGCAATCGAAGCGGAAACTTTTATGAATGAGTCGTCTGCCAGGAGGAGCAGCAGCTACGTGAGCGCCACGCGGGAGTGGGAGAGTGGAGCATCCAGGCCCATATCCATATCCATCCAAGATGGCCTTCAGCTATGCGTGCATGGTGCTGCAGCGCGTCGTCGTTCCGGCGGTGCTGGTTCTGGGTGAGTAACGATCTTTAATATGTACATATATATTTAATCCCACGATCCAGACTGACATCACCATTTTGTTGTTCTTATAGCTTCGCTGATGCGACCGGTGGGCATATCATTTGTGTACCTTCTCATGTTCTTCATGTCACCGTTTGTACCCCTGGCCACGCGACGCAACTTCAAGGGATCAGTCACCGCCTTCTTCATCATTCTGCTGTCGCTGAGCACTCTAGTCCTGCTGGGGCACATCGCCCTCCAGATAGTGGCCGTCAGCACAGCGCTGCCCATCTACAACTGCTCCTTCAGCGAGCGCCTGCTTAGGCACATAGGCTTCGTGAGCTTCATCGATCTGAAGTGGGTAGCCCCCGAGATTCAAGCCCACATATATCACTCATCCCGCTCTCTCCCCTTCAGGCCCCTGGCCATCATTGAGTGGCTGGCCCCGGAGGTCCTGGTGTTTGCCACCTCCCTTGGCTCCTACCTCACCGTAAAGCGACTGGCCGTACAGCCCATCACCGCCGAGCAGCTGGAGAACGGCGAGCTGATCGAAGCCCAGTCCGCGGACCACGCCCAGTCGACCCAGCCCCCCTGCCCCACAGATGCCAATGGCGGAGATGTGCAACAGGCCACGGCAACGACGCCACTGCAGCAGCAGCAGCAGCAGCTGCGGAAGCGGGTCTCCATGATCAGTCAGCATATCCACTTCGAGGGATTGATCAAGATCTGTGAGTAAATCAGAATGTGAACCTGTAACCAGGAAGAAGATCCTGTAACCGGATCCCAGAGACCATGCAATGAGTCACTAATAATGGGGCCCTAAAGTTGAATAAGTATGTAGATATATAACTACCGCAAAAACCATAGTGCGTTAAATACGATTAGGCAACCATTTACTAGGATGTTGACGGGCAATGACTATAAGTTCAACCGAGCGGAGCTGGAGCAAATGGAATCACAATTCGATAATAATGGTGCAAAGAGTCTAGTGGATATATTGGGAGCTGCGGTTCAACAAGTCAGGCTGATTCTATACGGTTCTGGATTCAGAATTAGAAGAGTTCTGATAAGAGTGGTATAAGAGTATCTTTATGAACTTTAATCAGCGGTGGAGAGCTGAGAGCTATCCATTATACTTGTATTTAACAGAAATCGTACGAATTGCAAAAGAAATGCAATCGAAGTGGTTTCAGATTCCCATTTATAACAATCAATTTCAGAGAAAATACTTTATCGTTCCACACTTTTCTATCTTTGCATCTACAGCGCCTCTCTTCTGCCTTGCCACACTGTTCTTTGCGGCCGCGCTGCGTCCCTCGGTGCCGGGTGGATTCTATTTTCTCATCTTCCTGCTGGCCGGCACTTACTGGGCAACCTGCCGGACGCTGCAACGGTGCGTGCCACAATCAATTTCGGACGGACACACGGACCCACGGACGCACGGACGGACTTTTCTCATTTTACCTTTACGTTTTCACACCTCTTTGCAGTGGCTTCGCCTTGCTGTTGCGCTGCGTAATGGTCGTCCTTGTGCTCCACTCGCTGTCCATTGTGTCCTACCAGACGCCCTGGATGCAGGGCCACCTCAATCACACCAGCCTGACGGCGCGGTAAGTGAATGGAGAGGTTTCTCCGTGAACTTGCAACTCATCTGCCACTGCCTTTGGTCCACAGTCTGATTGGTCTGGAGCCGCTCATTGAATCCTACTGCTCGCCGGATATACGGGTCCTCCTGTACAATAATACCCTCTATCTGGACTCGTACCTGAACCCGTTTGCCCTGTTCTTTGCCTACTTCGCTTTGGCTCTGACCACCAAGCATCTGATCAAGCCCAGGGTGAGTGTCCAAGTTCCAGCTGGGGGACCACTAGCATTCCTTTCGATGGATAAAGAGCAACAGCTCCTACTACGGCCTGGGGCCACTAACACAAATCTAGTTACCAGCTCTTTGCTCTGATTTTCCGCTCTTCTCCCGCTGCCATTTACATTCGGACAATCTGCTCAATCTCCAACCCCGTAACACACTTTCCCTGCACGCAAACAAAAATCTACACTAAACATTCTTAACAACAAACTCGTCACTAACCACACCACACCACTACACACCACACACCACACGAAAACTCCACTCGAAACCGAACCACTGTACCACTGTACCACTCGACCACCGCCTCGCAGCTGGAGGCAAAGCCTGCCACCGCCTTTGGGCAGCAGCTTGACTGCAACAGCAGCAGCCTCAACACCACCGGCAACAAAGCAAGCCGCCAGCTGACGCTCCGCACCTCACAGGCCTCGCGGGGCAGCAGTCGCAAGGACAACTCGGGTCCCGGCGCAGGATCCAGCACCGCCACCACCTCCACCGCAAATCGAACACAGCGTCTGAGTGTAAGCGAGCGGATTGATACCAGAAGGGATTGGGATTAGGTTTGGGGTATTGCGGTTTTCCTGGTTCGATTCGGGTTTCTGTTGTGCGAATGTGGAGCACTTAAGGATTGGCAGAATAGATAGTAAATATATCAATATCAGAGGATAAAGTGTCTTGTGCATTCCCAGAAAAAGAAAATACCTGTAATTGTTATGGAAAATTACTTAAAGAGCAAAAGGCTCTTCAGAAGCGGTTTATCCGAAGACGCTGCAAGTTATTTGTTAAACATTTGACGCTTGAGATGTGCATTGACTGTACACTCTCGTAGATTGCCCGATATTGAAATTAATTCAAATCTATCAGTATGTGGAAACTAGTTTATTTACGACCCAATCCTAGTAAATTGCTGACAAAGATGATCCTGTTTGCAGAAATCGTGGCATACTTATATCACAGCTCCAGCAGATTCACTTTGGTTCCACTGGGAGGTCGTTCTTTTAAAAATAGTGGAACAAGGAACCTAGTTTTAAAACTTAAACTGTGGGCTTGGAGACATTCTCAAAAGAGAACCGCCTGAACCCGATTAGCGAATGGAGCAGTTTAATTGTCAATACAACAAGCTTTACTTTAATCTACTGGCTATCTGTACCATATACTCGATTCACCGAATATTGTGCGAAAACTAACTCAACTGAATGTTGTGTCTGTGCTGTAACCCAAAGATAACCCAAAGACCTCAACATATCTTGAGATGACGTTCGCTATAAATATGAATGTAAATCTGTATGCCTTTTGCCGAAATCTTACAATTTGTTTTGCGCTTTTTCCCGAATTTTCCTTTATGTTTTGGTTTTCTTTTGATTTTTGTTTATGCTCTCTCTTTTATTACTTCCGCTTTAGGTTTCTCTGCGCCGTGATCAGCGCGCAGCGTTGAATGAACCGACTGAGACGACGCCTGTACGTAAACTAACTCCACTATTCGCCAAATACTCTACTCGCTAACCTAACCTAATCATTAGACTAAAGATAGACTCTGTATCTATATATCTATCTTTTGGTTTCCGCATCTGTCATTTGTTGATGTAAAAATGTTCTCGTCTAACATCTATATTCTATAGTATTCGATTGTACTAATACCTTAGTAATCCCCAAGTCATACTCGTACTCGTCCTTAACCCGAAACTAACCGCGAAAGTGTGTGAGACTGTGTGTAGCTGATCTGTCTGTTCTGGGCCATACAGCACCGTAAATCAATCAATAGCAACTCTCACCCAGATCTAGTGACCTCCTATCACCCGTAGCTGCCCTAGAACTCTAGTATCTCTCTGTATGTACATACAATACTTACCCTATATGTATAGTAATCGAAATATCTCCTCAATTGTACGTCTACACGGGCACATAGTGCAATTCCAAACTAATTCGCTAATCATTCTGTGCAGCTGGTGCGTCAGAGTACGCGGAAGGGGCGCACAGCCCAGCCCCTGGAGAGCGGATCTTCAGTGGCAATGGGCGGCACTCAACGCGGCAATGAAATACCGCTGGACTCGCTGGAGCAGCGATCGGAGCAGGAGAACACGACCACCTCGATACTGGATCAGATATCGTATGGCTTTGTCAGTGTGGGTGGCTTCATCTACCAGAACAGCTATATATTCACCAATATTCTAATGATGGTAAGTCAATTACAGAACTAAAGCTATAATTCCATATTCTGCTGGGAGCATTGGGAGCAAAGGGATCAAGGATAACCCACCGCTTGATAAATAAACTGATCACTACTGAATAGAACCCACAAGTTGAAAGAACAGGGGTTATTTATGCTGTCTATGCTGTTGGCCTTTGTTAAGAAATTTTGTATTTCTGTTCTTCTTTAGGCCTGGTCCATAGTATACCACAGTTGGCTGACGTTCGTCCTCCTGCTGTGGGCCAATGTGCTGTGGATGATCCCCAACCAGCGGAAGGCGATGATGCGGTCCAGTCCGTTCATCGTGCTCTACGCGGAGGTGCTGCTGGTGGCCCAGTACATATACGGCATGGACCTGAACAACAACGAGCTTCCCACGAAGGTCACCGTAAGTTTAAGGTGTCCAATGCGAATGATATCCTATCGAATGATCTACTTGCAGACGGCGGGCATCAATCTGCAGCAGATTGGGTTCGAGCGGCCCATCGAGAACCACATGCGTCCATGTGTGCCGCTGATCGTGAAGACAGCCTTCGTCCTGATGTTCTGGGTGACGTCGCGGCAGTTCTTCAAGGAGAAGCGCGACCGGCGAAGGGACACCATGGCGGACATCATCGCTCCGCTGCAGATCACCGTGGGCTCGGCGGGGTCCAGCTACCTCATCAACGACGGCAAGAAGACCTCAAAGTTCCTAAAGAAGGCCGGCGATGTGATCAAAAACCTGCTGGTGCGCCTGTGGATCTGGCTACTGGTGCTGGTGATCTTCCTCTGCGCGATCACCGGAGAGAATATGACGGGCTTCCGCATCTGCTACATGGCCCTGTTCCTGTTCTTCTTGCTAGTATTTCAGTCCTCGTCCAAGGCATGGGTGAAGATCATGTACGGCTTCTGGCTGTTCCTCATTTTCTACGCCATGTCCATACTGATTCTGATCTACACATATCAATTCGACAAGTTCGATACGTACTGGAACGACTATCTTAATGTGTCCAAGACGCTGTAGGTTGTTCTTTGCTAAAAAAGAAGTCCCATCTCTGAAGATGTTTCTTCTCTTTCAGACAAAACGACATTGGTCTGAAGCGCTACCAAACGAAGGATCTTTTCCTGCACCTGGTCTCGCCCACGATCATTGTGATCCTGACTGTGATCCAAGTGCATTACTTCCACAAGCGCTTCATTGCCTCGCTGCAACAGCAGCCAGCAACTGCTGGTGCTGCCGGAGCTGGCGGCTCTGCACAGCAGAAACCCACCGAGACAACGGCTCTGGAAGCGGCGCCCTCAAAGCGTCGTGGCAGTGCCGGCTCCCTGCGGCGCTCCCAGGGTCCCTCAGGCGAGGCGGCGCCCGGCGGCGCCACCACAGACTTTGAGACCTCTGTGCGGGATCTGGTGCGGATTTCCTTCCGCAAGATCAAGAACAAGTCAGAGTACATCTTCAAGAACTTCAAGGACGTTTTCTGGCGCTTCCTGGAGCTGCACATCATGAAGGCCGTCTACATCACCGCCTTTGTGTGCAGCGTGAGCGAGGTCTGCGTCCTGCACATTGTCTTTGTGGGCTTCTGTGTGCTGGGTGCCACTTCACGGAAGGCCATCCAAGTGATAATCAGCCGCGTGATATCGTTTATTGTCACCATTATCGTCCTGTCTAAGATGATCTATCAGATTGAGTACCTGAGCCACACCCAGTACACCGTCTTCTGCGTGAGTTGATTAGTAATTTCTCCTACGCTGACGTTCTCTTTCTAATCCCTTACCTGTTCCTGCTCACAGTCCGACAACCGCACGGCCAACAACGCCGAGTGGGTGGGCCTCACGAAGGCTGAGAAGATGGAGGGTGGTTTGATGAGTCTGCTGCGCACGTACATCATCTACATGGTCACTGTGACCATGCACGCCGTGATCACGTTGCGCCAGCTGCAGATGAGAGTGAAGATTGGAGCCGTGAATGCTCCGCCCACCAAGCTGCTGTTCCCAAATATCATCCGCGCCGATGCTGAGAAGGATCTAGTGGGTTTGGTCAAGTACCTCCTGAACTATGCCTTCTACAAGTTTGGCATCGAGATATCGCTGATTGCCCTGGTCTCCACCATCACGTACCGCCAGGACATTGTGGCCGTGGCCTATGCGCTCTGGCTGGTCGTCCTCTTGCTACTAAGGCGGTCGCAGTGCGCCAAGATCTGGGGAGTTTTCCAGGCCTTCTTTGCCATCTCGATATTGACGCAATATATCATCTTGGTGGGACTGCCGCCAAGCTCATGTCTGGGTAGGAGCTAATAGAGGTCCTTATATAGAGCGTATGATATTGATTGATATTGTTTCTTTTCGGACAGTTTATCCCTGGGACGAGGGCGCCTTTGGGGAGAGCATCCAGCGCTGGACGATGCTTCCCGGGGCCCTGCACTTCAACCATGTGCCTAAGCTGATCTTCGACTTCATCGTCCTGGTCATCCTGAACCGTCAGAAGAGCATCTTCTGCATAGAGCAGCGCTACGCCAGCAAAGACGACTATCCCGGAGGCAGCAATCGTAGCGTTATCTCGGACATTGCCCAGCTGGGGAGGACGCCCTTCGACAATCCCACCCACGACTTCTGCTCGTACATTCGCAACTACTCGGACATCCTGAAGAACGGGGTGCTGTGCGGCTTCTACTGGTTCACCCTGGCCGTGGTATTCTTGGCCGGGACCAACATTGCTGATCTGCTGGCCCTGGGCTACCTCATTGGGGCGTTCGTCTTCCTCTGGCAGGGCTCCGACTTCTATCTGCGGCCGATCAACACCATCATCAGTCGCTGGAAGTGGCTGCTGGCCTTCAACGTGGCCAACATCCTCATCAAGACGAGCTTCCAAATGGCCGGCTGCTTGTTCATGACGCCCCTGACCACCCACTGCTGCTGGCTGGTGCACATGCTGGGCATCACCTGCACGAGCAACGTGCTCAAGGAGCCACTGATGCTGACCGAAGAGACGGACCTTATATTGGCGCCCGGTGAATGCCCCAAGATCACGCATCAGGTGGTCCTGCTGTGGGACACGATCTGCTTTGCTTTCATCATCTTCCAGCTGCGCATCTTTAAGTCTCACTACTTCTGCCACATCATCACGGACACGAAGGCCAACAATATTCTGGCTTCCAGGTGGGTTCTTATCTAGTTTTAGGTCATATCTATTGTACTTACGAGCCACGAGTATTGTTATCCACAATAGAGGAGCTGATATCATTGAGGGATTGCGCCAGAACCAGATTGCCCATCGCCACGGCCATGAGAAGCAGGTCCTGCTCAAGATCAAGCGGAAGATGGAGCGGATTCGGGCCACGCAGCAGAAAATGCTGCGACCCCTGGACAAGCAGACACATTTTGATGGTAAGTTGGCCTGGAAATCGCCTCCAAAGGAGTGTTTCCTACGTTAAGTTCTGTTTTCCGCGTCGCGCTTTCCGTTGCAATTCCCCTTTTTGAATTTTGATCGTGGGAAATTGTCGCGTGTGTTCCCCCACTAATCTCTGGCTTGGCCTTGCCTCCGAAAGGGCAACGCACGCCCTCGGATCAGACAATGTCGGAGGTGGCGCCCCTGGCCCACAACAGCAGCTTCACCTCCTGCCAGGGGTCCGGCTATCTGACACCTGACGAGCAGAGCTCCTCGAGCTCAGCCACCTCATCGCCGGCCCGGGCCTCGCTCCTGTCCAGCTGCGAGAGCAGCGACGAGAGCGCGGACAGTGCCGATGCTTGTGTGGTCATTGAGCCGGAGATCAATGTGATGCCCTGCGAGGAGCTTACGGAGTACGCGGACGTGCAGTCGGCCAGTGAGGAGGAGGCCACTGTGGCAGCGGCCCTGCCACGACTGGAACCCATCGCCCCGACGACAGCTGTAAGTTTTGGGGATGTCCACACACAGGAGACTCCCACTAAATGCATCCATTCTTCGAAGCCCACGACGCCCAGCACAGACGCTCTATCTGCCCTGCTCACCGAAGGGTTCTTAGAGCCGAAAAGGATCTCCCTGGGTCTGGCCTCCTCTGATATCAGTGCTTCGGGTACCACGCATAGCCTTGCGCCTCCCATGGTGGCCTATGCCAACGCCATGGCCAACAGTGGGACCAGCTCAGTGCTGTCCTCGAATCTGACCCCGAATCTGCGGAGGGAACACCGTCGGCAGTCTTCGACAAATGCAGCTGTCTCCTGGAACGAGACCGTGTCCATCAAGCGATCCCCGCTGAGCAAAGAAATGGTAAAGCGGCCGAAGAAACCTCTTTGCCAGAAACCGACCAGCGCTTCATTTCTCCCACCCAAACAGTCGGCAGAGCGGGATGAGGAGGTGACCATGCGCCAGAAGTCACTGCACCGTCGCCACCAGAGCATGGGCAACGCCAGCTACTCCCTGGACGAGGCCGCCCAGTCCTCCCAGCGCATGCGCCACTCCAGCAACCAGTCTGGGGCCAGGGATGAGGCTGCCCTGCGCTCCACCCAGCGGCCGCACAGCTGGGGACCCGTGGGTACGGTCTACTATATGGAGTCGCTGATGTGCGCGTTCTATGAGCCCGCACTGCTGCATGGACCATGTATTGGATGAATCTTTGATCTAATTGAATCTAATAACCTCTGCTAGCATTAGTAAACTCTGTACAAAGAAACCGTTTTTCGATGTGCGTGCTCAAGTTATTGACAATAAAACCATTGGGTTGGAGTCTTGTTTAGAAGCATCTCCAAACAACTGCCTCTCTGAGTCTGCCCTGTAAATAGCACTTGTCTACTTAGATGAATTTTTTCCAAATAAAATACTTCTTCACGGATGAATTCTCGCGCAATCAAAAAGTGTATAAATAAAATTCTTGAATGGTCTCAATGCCACTTTCAGAATGACCAAAGCTTGTTTTATTTCCTATTCAGGGGCTGTAAAATATTTACTTACTTTTTACCAGCATGAGGAATATAAAAGCGTCTAAAAACTGCTTAAAGATGATATGGAATCTACAATTATTTTTAATATTCATTTCTGAAAACAAGTTTCTCATAATTCTTATAATAATGATATGGCATCTGATATCTTTATAATATTCAAAATCATTTTTACTACCCTTTTAAAATTGCTCAAATTGATAGTTTTTATTGATTGAAAATGATATGGAATCAAAATTACAAAAATTGCTAACACTTAAAAAAAAGTTTATTTCTATACAACATTATATTTAAATTATTATACATTTTCAAGTTTCGCGTTATTTTTATAACATTTAAAGATCCATCTGCTATAAGCATATTGAATGCCCCTGGGATCGGTTCAGAAATATACAATGTACAACATCCTCGGCTGGCCGAGGATACAGCTACGAGTACGATCGTATATCCTTAGTTTGATTCAAAAGAATCGTACATTTCCTCGTTTTTTATGAATTCTTTTAATTTACTTTTGTTTTATATTTGATTTGGTTTTTTTTTAGAACATGGTTATCCACTTCCTGCACCAACAGTACGCAGAAGGAAGGAAATCAAATTACATCCACATGGTAAAGTTTTCGTTTGTTGTGCCTCATTTTTTCCATACGAATATCCGTTCGTACCTATGTACCATGTACCTATACCATGTATATAAAGTATATCCAGTTAACTGCATGACTGTATGCTGCTCTGTAAATTGAATGCGAAAAGAAAATAACCTAAAAACCTTTCCCTAGCAACTATTGTATTTGATCTCTCTGAATGTTGTTGAACACCATTATGGAATGTACCCGCATATGTGTATGAAAACGTGTTCTGATTATGTTTTATGGCATTCCCAATAAAGCTACCCGGGCTGGCGACTACTACATGTTCGAGGAGATGGATGACAAGTTCGAGCTGGACCTGATACACGACGAGATTGACTTTCTGGAGGAGGAGAACATGACCGAGAGCGAGATGAAGATGCAGCGCCGCAAAACCCTCTATGATGTGAGTTCCCCTACAGTAATCCAGATGGAAATCAGACCTACCAAACTATTGCATTCATCCTGTCGCATGCCGATTATCGCATGTATTTTGAAATCTATATAATTTCTTGTGAATTCCCCCAAAATTCCGCCAAAAATTGCCCCCTGACTTGTGCCCGCGAAGGTGTGGAAGGACCTGAACGATGCCGAGTATCGTCGTCATTTCTATATGCGCGAGCGATCCTACGCCTCTGAGCCGGGCTCTCGCATAGCTCTTAAGCTAGACGACGACCAGGACAAGGCGCCCGCTCATGACCTAGGCCTGACCGATGGCGCGGACGACGACGACGACACCATTGAGTGCGACCTGGGCATGCGCACGTCGACGCTGTCCGAGCCGCTCGACTTCGGGCGCCGTAGCCAGACGCTGCTCGAGGATGGCCTTCCGGCGAGGGTTGTGAGTCTGAATGTGATTGTGATGGGCAACCAGAGCTCCTCTTCTTTAATTGGCGCACCTCCTCGCATTACCGTACATTATTTACTCACCAGTTCTGCTCAGTTTCAAGTATTCAAGTATTCCAACTGCGCCTGCAAGCCAACCGACAGACAGTTGGCGCACCCACCTCAAATTGTACAAATATATCTATCTATATCAATATATACACTCGTATATGCCTACTCGTATACATATGTATATAAGCTTCGTTTTTGTTAAATCGTGTAAATGTAAAAACTCCTTAGGGAAGAAAGTCTGAAGTCGTCTAAAAGAATCTTTTTCTGTGCATCCCTCTGCAGAAATCAAAGGATGCTCCCGGTGCCGACTTTCCCTCCACCAGCAAGGGCATATCCAAGGAGCGGGATGAAGCAGGCACGGAAGTTCCGGCGGCTCCAACCCGCGATGTGGCTGATCTGCCAGTGATTCCACCGCCCCCGACCAGCTTGGGACGTGAGGCCACCTACAAGGAGACTTCGGAAAGCAAATCCAAGATGGAAGTCGACAGCGGCGAGGTGACGGCCAAGGACTCGGACGAGGACTTCGACACGAATCCCATCATCAGGCTGCTCGAGGGCTTCTTGGTCACCCTGACCATAAGACTGAACCGCTTCTCGCGCAACTACCGCTACGTCAATCGCATCTTGGCTGGCGAGAAGAAGACTCTGAAGGTGAGGATTATCCATATCTGAGATATTGAACTTTAACCGAACTTTCCCCATTTCTCCCCGACAGGAATCGAGCTCCCTGAATCGTCTGGGCCTGTCGAGTGCTGCTGCCATGTTCCACTTCCTCAAGTCCAACCTCGAGAGGTATTTACAACGTGACTCTGGCCCCGGTCCAGTGTGCGTCGCTTGCGTTACCTTTAGTTGAAGTTCTTTGTTTTTTAATTTTTGGTTTTTGAAACTGGAAACCATGCGTCCATAGAGTAGGGTGTTTTTGACGCGTTGCCCATAGTTATACTATTTCCCTAATGAATTTTTAAAATCCTTTTTGCGTTTTTTAAGAGCTGTGTTCAATTTCGATTCAATATTTATTTTGTATTCTTTCTCTTCTTTTTATTTGCATATCCGTTTACCTTTTGTGTTCCGTGTGTTTGAATTCTGTACCTGCTTTCACAACATACTTTGATACTCTCTCGAATCCAACAACTACACACCTGCAACAATGTCTCACCACCTCACCACTTCCATCATGTTACGTCTGTCACGCCAGCAATGAGAGTGGTGGCGAGCAGCCCGCCTCATCGTCCACGCCGCGGCGGCTCCTGGCCCCGGCAATCGTTACTCCACCAACTGCAACAGAACACACAACCACAAGCACCCCACTAAACACGAATACAACAACCACACCGCTATCACCACAAGTTCCACCGACACCACCAACAACCAGTACACCAGTACAACAGAATCAGCCACAGAATCAGCCTCAGCACAGTCGACTCAGTGCTGTGGACGACATCATCGAACTGCCCGTAGATACCGTTGATGCAGCCATTTCTAGGTAACCAAAGCCACATTTGAAAGACCATTAAACTCGTGGGTGCGTGGGGTACATAACTATATAGCAAAGTGGATGATAAACTATGGATCCTATAGAAAGATAGAAAATATCTGGAACTTTTTTCTAGGATTAGTATTAAAGATGCTCTTCAAGTATCTTTGAATATTGATTTAAATATAATGCCTGCATAATGTTTCTTAGAAAACTGAAAGCTTCATAGTCTGTTAACGTTTTGAAAGATATCTCGGCCTTAATTATGTGAAATCCTATAAAAACGTAAAGCTTTAAGTATTTGTGTAGTTTTGGCGTTTATACGTTGACTCTATCGAGCGTGCCCTGTACATTAAAAAACTCCAAAATTTTCCTTTTGGAACTTTTACACATTAAAAGCTGCATTCTATTATCCTGCACCTTTTCCATATATTTTCCAGTATAAATATATTTCTTCATTTATATATTTATTTAAAAAATCAGAAAATCAGTTTCCGGATTTCTATTTGGCTTGAGATAAACTATATCGATATCTTCCATCGAATATATGCTTAAAAACTATATTAATTCTAAATCCTTACTAATTTCTTTTTCTTACAATTTACATTTTTGTGCGCGCATTTCGATCATCCGAATACATTTATGTTTTGTTAGAAAACAATCGATCAATTCATCGCCGCCAGCCAAGGGGTAAGTAGATCGAACCATACTACGTACAAGCAATCCAAAAGCAAGATCATTAAGTACCAAGAACAAAGACTAACAAAACCATACAACTACATATGTGTGATCTCGTGTCTGCTCTCCAAGACTGAGACTCTCTTATTAAAATCTCCTAATATTACTTGAGTAATTTCTTCTATATGTAAACCTCACCTACATCTCATTCCATTCCATTCCTCTCCTCCCCCTCCCATTCACGCATCGCCTAAAATATGTACGCGTCGTACACTATATAGCACGATGCTCAGTCGCAAATCGGACTGTGGCCTGCCCGAGATCCGCATTAAAGCGCCTTCCATCGAGCGCGGCGCACACTATTATAATCATCATAGTGCCGGCGGTGGCGGTGGCTCGGGATCGCTGAGCAAGCACTGGTCCTACGAGCAGGTGGACAGGTACTGCCCTCGCCCACTAACTAAGCGTTGTCCCCATATCCCTTAGAGTTGATGTGCCCTTACCCCCTTTAATGTGTTGGTGTGTGTTCGGTTTGTGTTTGTAACTCTCTGGATCTGTATCTCTATCTCTATCTGTATCTGTATCTGAATCTCTTTCATACTCCACTCATGAAGATCATGATCTGTCTGTCATATCTGTGTATATCTTTCCCGAATCTTTCCCTTGGTAATTGTAATTGCATCTAACTCTGTCTCTGTCTGCCTTCCCACAAAGTTGTCTTTGCTGCTATGATTTAAACCTATCCCTATGTGTTCTTTGCTAGTATGTATTGTTGTTTGGCTTGGATTAACCCTAGTTTTAGCGTTTTTTGTTCACGTTCCACAATGAGTTCAATCCCACGACGCACTCGCATGTACGTAGCATGCAGAGCACACATCCCAAAAACCGAGCACCGAGCACCGAGCATGCCGAATTGCTAGTCCTGTTCAGAGATATCAGGTATCTGAATGAAGAGCTCTGTAGTAATGTTTCTTGGTGCCCTTGCAGCGCCGGAGACTTCAACTTGGAGGAGGAGAACTTTGCCCAGCGGGATCATCACATTATAGTGGAGGTGCTGATCTCCTCGTGGTATGCCTTGCTTGCCAACACAGATCTGATTTGCTACATAGTAGTGTTCATCAATCAGGTGAGTGGCTATCATATTCCCCACAGGACTTCCCACTAAATTGATCATTCACCATTGCAGGTCGTCAATGCCAGTCTCATCTCGTTGCCGCTGCCCATAATGGTCTTTCTCTGGGGCACTCTGTCACTGCCTCGTCCAACGAAAACCTTCTGGGTCACCCTAATTGCCTACACCCAGGCCATCGTTCTGATCAAGTGTATCTTCCAGTTCAAGCTAATTTGGGCGAACTATCACAACCTGCCCAATCAGCCCTTGACGGCCGCCAAGATCTTTGGCGTGGAGATGAAGACCCACTATGCAGTGTACGACTTGATGCTGTTGCTAGTGCTCTTCTTGCACCGCTATCTGCTCAAGTCGCAAGGTCTGTGGAAGTCAGGCTACAAGGACACAGATCAGCAGTTTGCCAAACCCACCGCCAGCATGTACGCCAAGTGAGTCCACAGCAACTTGAACTTCCTTTTGAAACTGTTTTCTTCTTTAAGCAGCGATGACCGAGACGACAGCGACAACCTATCTCAACCCGACTCTCGCCAGCTAAACGATGATGCAGCCCAGAAGTTGAGCCTGCAAGTGAGCCAGGCATCGTTGCCGGGCTCCCCCGAGTACAGCAAGTCGGGCATTAATCAGCTAGAGTAAGGATACTCAAGAAACCTACAGGTTTTCCTTTTGTAACCCCCTCCATTGCAGACGAACCAAGTACACCTCCTCGCTGCACAAGTTCTTTTTTAGTCTGGTGCATAAATCTCGATTGGCCACAGACGTGTATGCCCTAATGTTCCTGTGCGATTTTATAAACTTTTTTGTGCTGCTCTTTGGCTTCACAGCATTTGGAGTGAGTAAAGTCACACGACAGGCATTGCGACATTAATTAACTGAACTTGTTCCTTCCTCAGACCCAGCAAACAGAAAGCGATGAAGGCGTGCAAACATATCTGGCAGAGAATAAAGTGCCCATACCTTTCCTGATTATGCTGCTGGTCCAGTTCCTGCTCATTGTCATCGATCGGGCGCTGTATCTGCGCAAGGCCCTGGTGAACAAGATAATTTTCCATTTCTTCTCGGTGATCGGCATACATATCTGGATGTTCTTCGTGGTGCCGGCGGTGACGGAGCGTACCTTCAACTCGCTGGCGCCACCGATCATCTTCTATGTGATCAAGTGCTTTTACATGCTGCTGAGCTCCTATCAAATCAAGTCGGGCTATCCCAAGCGCATTCTCGGCAACTTTTTCACCAAGGGCTTCTCGATGGTCAACATGATCGCCTTTAAGGTATACATGCAGATCCCGTTCCTGTACGAGCTGCGCACCATCCTCGACTGGGTCTGCATCGACAGCACCATGACCATCTTCGACTGGCTCAAGATGGAGGATATCTTCTCTAACATATATCTCATACGATGCACCAGGCAGTCGGAAACCGACTTCCCAGCCATGCGCGCCCAAAAAAAGGCTTCCATCTCGAAGCTGATTATGGGCGGCACTATTGTCCTGCTGATTGTCATATGCATCTGGGGTCCGTTATGTCTGTTTGCCTTAGGCAATGCTGTGGGCACCTCCAATGTGCCCTTCCAGGTGTCGCTCTCCATCCGAATTGGACCCTACGACCCCATTTATACCACCAACAACTACGATAGCATTTTCGAAATTGATCCCACGATGTACTCGCAAATGACTAATGCTTATATCAAGGATAAACAGGCTCTGACCTTTATCACTGGCTACGATGCCACGGATGTAGCGGCGGTCAAGTTGGCTGGGAACTCGCCCTCCCTGTGGAATATAGCACCGCCAGATAGGCAGCGTTTGCTGAATGATTTGAGAAATAGTAAGATCGATGACACGTGCTTGCGGTGGAAACATCAATAAACTCATACTCTTTTCAGATCATACTTTAAAGGCCCGCTTCTCCTACACCCTTACACGGAAGGCTCCGGCCAAGGGTCTGAAAGAAATTGTGGGCGATGAGCATGCCATCTCCCTCGACGAGACATTTGAAGGACGTGCAGCTCTCATCAATATGCTTAACGAAACCCACGACTTAGAGCCAACGGGTAATGACACCAGTACCAATGGAACCTCTAGCTTTGAAGAAGCAGTAGTGCTGCCTGCCATGATACCAAAATTCATCAAGGTGCTCAACTCAGGCGATGCCGCTGTGGTCACTGTGCTGAGTCCCAAGAACGAGGAATACCGTCCTCTGGTCATCAAAATGCATCGAGACAAGGAGACAAACGGTCTGTGGTGGGAAATACGAGACTTCTGCAATGACACCTTCTACAATACCACTCTGAAGGAGTTTGCCTACAGCAACTGCACTTCCGGTATTGTGATGTATACCTTCAACGACAAGAAGTTCCCATCGACATTCAGCTTCCTCACAGCTGGCGGGTGAGTTGACAGACATCTTCTCCCCGAAAGAAGGTTTTAAATGTACATCTTCTTCTTTCAGCATAATTGGGCTGTACACCACATTCGTGTTATTGGCCTCGCGCTTCATGAAGTCCTTCATTGGGGGACAAAATCGAAAGATTATGTTCGAGGATCTACCCTATGTAGATAGGGTATTGCAGCTGTGTCTGGATATATACCTGGTAATGATCCCATCATTCCATACAAAATTATAAAAATATCACGCTGACTAATGTCAACTATTTAAGGTACGCGAGGCCTTGGAATTCGCCTTGGAGGAAGATCTGTTTGCCAAATTACTCTTCCTGTACCGTTCGCCCGAGACGCTCATCAAGTGGACCCGTCCCAAGGAGGAGTACGTGGACGATGATGCCGACACCGACTCAATGAGCGTGCGGCGTTCAGAGCAGCTGCAGCAGCACCAACAACACCAGCAGCAACAATAACATAGGCCCAACCCAAGCGCTTAAGTAATCTAGAACTGGTCTACGTATATAGTACGTATGGGGTTACCGTAGGTTTCATAGTCTTTTTTTAAACATTTTTTGTATGAAAACGTTTGTAAAAGTAAGAATATAGTTAGAACTAGACATAGAGCTAGGTACAGACGAACACAAATCAAAACACAAAGTACACATCACCCATTTATACGGCCTACAGATAGTTCGATTTATTGTCACAAGTACTGCCCATGTGTAAAACTGAAAAGTTCTAAGGTGTACACCAACTATTTTTAACATACATAGAAAATGTATGTACATATTGTATGTATGTGTTACGAATACCGACCATATACGCTAGTGTCTATAGTTGTAAGTAAGCGAAAAGTGTTGCTGTTTGATAGTTAAACAAATGAAAATACTAGTGAATTATAATTGTCTAAAGAGAGAAAATAATTTATTTAAGTTAATACTAAATTATGTGTACATCAATGAAGAAGAAGAAAGATAAACTAATAATAATCATGAAAACTCATATTCAGGGAATTTTAGCATTTTACAAAAACCGTATGTGTAAAGAATTAACCAAAACTGAAGCATCCAACAATGAATGTTTTATATATTGATACGAAACAATAATAACTTGTAATTACCAATATCGCTTCGAATCGCTACGTTGCCTCTGTGTGACCTTTACAAAATGGATTAAAGATATTATGTATATGTTGAACTGTTTGTTAAAGATTGTAAATTGTATAGTATGAATCTGTTGCAAATACTATATAGAGCGTTGACTTTAGTTATAGGCATATCACATCACATATATATTTTTATATTGAACGCAAATATCGTTTGCTTCAGCGACCATTTACTAGGCAAATTCATATCAAATTCGTATATGCTAGCGCGCGTAGGCTTTGAATCGAAATTTATCAACCACATATGTATGTATGTGTATATCTCTAGCAGGCAATCTCTTATACATACATAATTGTAACTATACAACACGCCAACTAAATCTGTATGTGCTATTTTATATATACTAAATCGAATTCGAATTGTGAATCTTAAAATCTAATTAGCGACGTAAACCGAAAAAACCAATTAATTTTTGTACCAAGAATTGAACGACATAAATCGTATATGTGTAGTATATAAAGTGTACCTATTTTTTTAGTGTTTAATTTTTCATTATAAACTTAACGAATACAAGAAATACTTACGAACTAAAAAAAAAGAATGCAAATTTATTGTAATAACTGAAAATACGAATACTAAGGCAATTATTGTCAAAGTGAAAAGTGGAAGACTTAAAGATATATACATATGCTTACATATGTATGTACTCGTATCATCTGCATATGTATTTTACATATGTATTAGATAGGCATAAAGAGAAACGCATATAAAGGGCTGGTACTAACAATAATTATCTTACTTTATTTTTCAGTTTATGGAAGACATCAGTGTCTGGTACGTACCATTAAATACTCTTTATTTTTTGCTCCTGGTGGTGAAGGTAGATGTGCGTAACACCCAGAAGGAAGCGTTTACATCTTATTCGGTATTTAATTGGAAGCTTTAGCGGGCTTGAATATGCCGTACCCATCCTTGAAAGGTGTCTGCTTCTACTATTGCGGATGCGCTTTCTTCTGGCAGTTATTGCCATCGTTACCAGTGAAATAAATATTGAGGGTTTCGGTTAATAAAAGCAAATATCCTCGTATTATTTGTTAATTATAATTAATTTATTTCTTAAAGCAGCAGAAAGTACAAATTCACAAATATTGCAAAATAAAACCAAAGTCCTAATTCTCCTTTAGGGAATCCGTGTTGAACAATTCCGGTAGTGCGTGAACTTGAGCTCACTGTCCAGGCTGCTGGCACTCTCTGTGCTCTGCTGACGACACAACTTGACGGCAGGATACACCTCCTCCCACTCGGAATTGCTGCGACTAAGTACTCCACGTCGACGAGGGGTTGTGAAGGAACTATCCTGCGGCGATCTGGTGGTGGAAGCGGCAGGCACGACGGGCAACGGATTGTTCAGCATTTGAGTAACGCTCTGGGACAGGCGGATAGACTGGATGCGATTATAGCCACTGCCCACGGGCTTATACCGTTCCAATTTCAATGTCAGAAGTGCCATTTCTTTGCTCATCCACTCTGGAGCGCGCATAATGTTCCACGGCAAAGACTTTTTCAGAAATCAACCGAGCGTGGACGCGGCCAAGCGCTTTTATAGCCAAGGGTGCGTGACATAAGGCCCAATCGATAGGGCTTGCATAAAGCAAGCTCAGGGCTGAGGGCCTAGAGCAGCCAGCTGCCACATTTGCACGGGTTTCCACCCCCAGTGCTATTGACCTATTAACTAGTACTCAAACACTCGGCCATGTAACAATTTCTATTATTGCAACAAAGTATACATAACATTTAATTAAGAACTAGGCGAATGGGCGAGGGACACAGAGAGACGAGTTAAATAAGAGAACAGATTTGAATTAGCCACAAAATTCGAGCTAGTGGTGGGTCAGTGTAACGGAGATATGCAAAATTGTGTGTCATTTAGGACACTTTGCAGTTGTCGTCGTGCAGGCGATCGCCATCGAGTTGAACATCTTCATCGTTGGTAGAGAATATTCCGCCCTGGAGAACTTTGTTGACAGCAGCGCGTGCCAGGTAGCCTGTAGTCTCCGAATAGGGCAGCGAGTAGAACGTAACTAGATCCTCGTGCTTGGCCTGCTGTGGTTGAGGCTGGGGATGATGTATGTTGTTGTCCTTGCAGTACATGGCGAAAGCCTCGGCAACTATGCCATCCAAGTCGAGTGCTTGTTTGAAGTGCAGCTCAGGATTGCTGAAAATTATATAAAATTGATCAATCCGGCATGAAGTGATCAGGAAATGCAGTTCATTGTGATGACTGCCACTTACCGATTGAGTATGGTGGCCACGATACACAGCAGCTCCACAGTTATCTGACGCCGCTCCGGACGGTCAATGCAAATTAGGGTCTCCTCAACCAGCAAATTGAAGGTCAACTCGCCCCGGCTCATGTTGGTCAGTGTGGGCGTCGCTGGCAAGTGATGACCCTGCGTCAGAATGCCCTGAGGAGTCCGTTGAAGAATCTCCCAAATTTTGTTATAGAAATGTTTGGGTACACGGCAAAGGCAGCCCTCCAGCTGACGACGTTGTAGCGTGGTAAGCCTGTTATGCAAATAGATGTGATGAATGTCCTGAGGGATAAATTAGAGTTTTCCACTTACTTTTCTTCCACAGCCCATTCGCTGACTGTAAGTACTTTCTGCAGAAGGATGCGCACCTGGAACGGCGACAGGTTGTCCACGTCGATGCTCTGCTGTCCGGATATTTGCAAGTAGATTCTCATGGCCTCCAGCACCCAGCCAATGCGGATTTTAAGAATACCTCGGAACATGGATGGATTGGTGGCTATCAGACGACCACAATACAAAACAACTTCCTGTTGCAGCACCGCCTGAATGACATCGTAGGGCTGGACACTAGTGTACATGACATTTTGAATCTCCGCCGGAGTCATGGGCTTATCGAACACCGTCTCCTTTTGGCCAATGATGCCCACTGTGAGTTCTTTTCCATTCACCAGGACAGTGGTGATGAACGGACTGATGGAGTCCACAATATGGTGGAGTAGGGAGGAGCAGTAACGCACAGCTCGCCAGTACCGGAGTGAACCAGCGCGATGATAGAGTTGGGTAAGGGCTGTGCTAACATTTAGGCCATTCACTTCAAAGTTAGGACCCTCGCGGTTGAGCAGTATGCCCCACAGTTGGCACAGGCAGTAAATGGAATCGGTGTTGCGCAGGGCATGGATGATGTCCGGGGTGGGTTTACTGTCAAAGTGCTGAAAGGACCAAAATGGTTACTCAGAAAATTCTACTTGTGAAAAGGAAAATCGCCTACCGCCACGGAAATCTTTTCCTCAACATAGGTCAATGCCTTGGGCACGTCCGTCAACGACTGGTAGCCAATGTACTCGTGGTTTATTTGCGAGAAAGCATTCTCGTTGTCCGTCAGATCGCTCTGGTTCATAAAGTCCAGATGCTCAATGCAAGAGCTGCTGATCAGGTTCTGTAGTCGTCCGATACGCACTTTCATGCCATCGCAGTAGCCTTTCTTCAGCATAGCCAGCAAGTCGAGCATCTCCTTGAACTGTGGATCGCGCATGTGCTCTTCGCGAATCAGCAGGCACACGGTGGGTCTGCCCGACAATCGCCAGTACTTGCCCACAAACTGCAGCTCCGTCTTGATATCGTCGATAAGCAACGCCATATCCCGGTACAGATAGAAGTCGGAGACCTCAAAAATCAAGGGGTAGCAGAGCACTGTCATGCCGCAGATGCGATACACTTTGCTGGTACCTAGCGAGCCCACTGGACGTGAGGGGCGTCCGGACAAGCCAACTTTGTTGTTGACTCCCAGATGCTGGTACACTTTGATGAGCTCCGTAGAGCTCCAGATCTGCACCGGCTCCACCTGGAAATAATAAAGTTAATGATTTTTCACCTGTAGGATGAGATTGTAATCGACTTACTTCGTGTGGCGTCTGTGTTTGAATGCCGTAGGTGGCCATCATGGCCTGCAGTCGCATGGATTCTGCAATCAAGACAATCTGCACCACTAGATCTGTGGCAGTGCCCTATAGGGGTTACGGAAAAATGATTAGAAAACGCACGACCTTAGCATTAGATTAAATAACATGTTACGATGCATGAGGCCAATTAAAAGTTCTTGGGTTTTAATCACATTCAAATAAAATTTTCCATAATCAAATGCCAAAATGCGAAAACACACAAAATGGGAAGAGTTCAGGAAGTGAAGAGTGGAAAGGAGTGGAGGGAAAATAAGTGCAAGTCAATGGGTATAGGATTTGACATGCCAAGAATAATTTAGATTACAATTTTAGAAGTATTCATTATACAATACGAGGAGAAGTAGAAGACAGATCTCTTAAGTGAACATTTCTTGTCAAAATTTTTGGAGCTTTCTTTCAGTTAAATCAATTCCAGTACAATTAACAATGCCAATTGTTGACCCTAAAGAGGGCCCAGACTAGACCTCGTACACATTTTAACCACAAATTACCTTCTTGTCATCCAATATAATAGGAATGCGTGGTTTCTTTGGGCATATAGTATGTTTATTGTTTAGTAGAGGAATACATGGATATTTAACAAGGACAATTAATTAGTAGCGAACGTTTCTAAGGGGCTCAAGCAATGCAGCTGTTTTTTGTGCAACTTATTTTCCAGCGCTGCCCCCGAACATAATTTTAATTAAAAGATCTTTACACTGCAAGAAATGGCCCAAGAATTGGGCGCTCATCCTTCCAAGTGTAAACACCTTCAGAACAAAATGAAACCAAATCAAGCTTGATCGTACTAGTGATCGTAGGTTAAACACAAGAGTTAGGAACTGCAAAATATGTAAAGAAACCCAACGTTCTGGTGATAAATTACTTACAGTGCCCGGTTTAGCCTATAGAGCGTGTATTTATGTTGGTTTTTAAATAATATATATTTATAGAAAGGGAAAAGAAACCGAAAAGAGTAAAGAGAAAAACTTTTGATTTAGATACCGAAGAGGAAGTTGTTTGCTATATACATACAAAACAAAAGTACAGAAACATATTACAATACTAAAATAGTAATTAGGCAAATCAATAATCATTAATGTGTGTGTTTGTGTGTGCGTGTTGATCGTTAGACGTGTCGTAGTTATGCCTTTTCGATCAGGTGTCTTGCCGTACATGTTACATTTGGATAAGAAAGCCACAAGAAATAAACTAGGTGTTGGAATTGTGGTGTGAAGTGTCTTTAATCTAAAAAGCATAATTTAATCATACACATAGGAGTAATTTAGTGGAATATAATTTTGAATTTATCTATAATTTTGAGTGATATTAAGCAGACACATCTACTTACTTTGTGTTTATCATCGATTGCTTTGCCCTGTTATTACAGAACCAATATTATGAGTACGATTTGGATTTATGGGCGATTTTGTTGGTTTTGTTGGAGTGTATATATTGGGGTAGCAGTAGTATTTAGTAGTAGAGAATGAACAAAATGTAGATAGTGATCAAATTAAATAGTAATTAAGTATCAAGAGCCAATTAACCCATACTGAGGAGAAGTACTGAGGGAGTAAAACAAAACCGTGTACTAAGATTCCCATTGGAGGGGGCGAACGCAAAAACAAGCGGCAGACACACAAAACTCATCACTGGCAGCAGCGAGGATCCCCGCCGTTGGGGGAAATCGGAAACCCAATAGCCCGACGCTATGAAATATGTTTCCAAAATAATAATTTATGGTGGAAATTCAAGAAATCTCTTTCTTTGTTATAATTAATTTAATTAATATTTCATAGCGTACAATTTTACCCCACCACTCTCCGATTCCAACTCACCTGAAAGGCTGAATATCGACCCGCTCGCCTGGGCCGATTATAGCTGGGCAAGTAGCGACGAATGGGATCCAATTCATTGATGTGCAAGAGGCCAGCGGTGAGCAGCTGTGCAATGATGAAGAAGGACTGGCCCCAAAGGAAGAGCGACTGTGATGGGGCCCGCATATAGGAGCCGTCCCCATCGGGGGCGTAGTACATTGTCACCACAGGATCTCCGTTGGCATCCGTGCGTAGACAGCGGCGCAGATCATTTTGGAACTCTTCGATCTGTTCGTTGTTGTTTTTGAACACGCCATCGATGATCATGGCTATGAAGAAGAGAGGCCATTCGCATTCAAGGCCCTCAAACTCCTTTAGCTCACCGGAGTGATAGTAGCGACGCGTCTTGTCCTCGTTCTTGCTAAGGAAACCGTCGCGGGTGAAGCGTTTAAAGCCCATTTTGCTCCGCAGTCGATTGACCACATTCAGCTTAGTCTGTTCCACGAGCCGATCTTCGTGTGAGGCAAAGGCTGGGAAGGAGAGGGTCAGAAGCAGAGAGGCATCCACGCCCTGACCAGGAGGTAAGTTATGAGAACAGAAATCGATAATGCCTGCATCCACTTACCTTTGAGCTGGACTCACGGGGCAGCATGGTCTCGAAAATACTGCGGTTGCGATTGTGAGCATCGATGTCTACATACACAACGCTCCAGGAAGCTCCCTTCTCGCCAAACAAGTTGCATCCGTTAATGGCCTCCAAGGCAGACTTGGCCATTCCAATGGAGGAGGCATGAATCTCGGGCGTGCCATTGTTATACTTGGAGCCCCTCTCCCACATGCCAAAGTCTGGCGTGCGATAGGCACGCTCCACATAGTAAACCAGATTCTGGACAAAGGCCACCTCGTCGTGGGTGTAGATGATCTGCAGGCCAGAGGTTATCATCTGGACTAGGAACAGTAGATAGAGAGACACCTAAACGTAGAGATATAATTGTTTAATCCTCTGTTCCAGGGTAAATCATTTATTCGACTCACGCAATCGATTTGCAGATGGTTATAAAACTCGTCCGGATAGATCTTCTCGCCTGTATGCAGCTGGAACTTGCTGTGTAGGGCATGTGTGTTGGATTGGCGCTGCTTGAACAGCTCCACTCGGGAGGCTTGCTTCACCCAACACTCCAATATGCCGCGCATGCACTTTACAGTGCTCTGGCCCAGCTCGTAGGACTTTCCGCGGTCATCGTCGATGCGTCTGTATGCCTGATACAAGCTCCACACAGCGGAGGCGCAATATACACTGTCACGCACTGAGCCCACCACCTGATCGGTGCTCATCACTGGGAACAGGCCAGTGATGGGGCTCTGATAGCGCAATAGCTGCCGTTTTACTGTGGAGAGAGAGTGTTACATTCCGATGTTATCTCTTATTACAAAATGTCAGTGGCAGTGGTAGCGTCTTTGCGTTTGTCTGATAGCAAATGCAAATAAACAAACGATTCTGTTTACAATTGAGGAGCGAAGGCATTTCGCGATGCTTATTAATAGACGTGTCAGCATAGCGTCGTTTGGTGGTATTAATTGATGCTCAATTGGCTGCCCTACAGCCAGCTCCAAGGTTATATAAATAATGTCTTTTCCTGTCAAAGTGCTTACCGATGCCATAGTAAATGTCTAGCTGCTTTACAGTGTCCTCGTAGTTAGATGTCTTCAGGAACTGGTCCAGATTTATATCCTCCAAACTATTGTGGCGTCCACTTGTAGATATGCCACTGTCCGGAGCCCCCAAGCTGCCGCCTGGTGTTGTGACGGAGAGACCGAGTCTGGGACAGGAATATTCAACATCTATCAGTTGTTTTGTTTAATTATCTAGTCGCTACTCACGAATTCGGCACATTCCGCATCGTAACTTTCTTCAGTTCCGTTCCGCAGAATAGAATCAAAGTCAAAAAAAAGTCATTTGCCTCCCTAACAGCTGATTTCATTCACCATCTGGCAGCGCTGTGGTATTTAAAATGTATCAAGAGTCAGAGCAAAAAACATAAAATTCTTCATGAGCACTTGTACCGGAATATACAAGCTAAAACAAATAGAGATATTCGCATCACACAGTTTTGTTTGGCGTTTAATACAATCAATTTAAATGCAAATACATGGCTTAGTATCGCCACCTTCACTGCCGAGTTTGCGTAATGGAAAATACCATGCTACCAGCTGATTAGAAGAAAACGAGGGGGAACGTTGTGAGTTGCTGCGGACACCGCAACTCTACGGTTATACCCGATACTAAGTCAGTATGGCTCTCCTCCGGCAGACGCCGCTAATATTAAACGACACGACAAAGAGTGCGTGCGAGAGAGACAGAAAATCAGTCTGAGCGTGACGTCGGGCGCTGCGTAGCCACTGCAAATTGATTTGTTCCTTTTGGCTATAAAAATGATCTGATCTGATCCAGATTCAGCAATCTAATAGATATGGTCATTATCTATGATTCTGCGTTTTTAGTTTTCTCAAATCTGCAATATTGTGGATGCAACAGATTTTCGTCCTTTGTGGGGGCGGATGGGGGTGGGGCGAAATTTGGACAGGAAACGGTCAAGGTCCGATATCACAGGAGTGTGGATACCAAATTTGGTTGCTCTGGCTTTTATAGGTTCTGAGATCCTTGAACTCATATTTTGCAATTGGCAAAACCGACCATGAAACCTGTGTGTTAGAGTGAGACAGAGCGAGAAAGAGTGAAATTGTTTTCGTGATTCTGGCTGTAATAATTATACGATCTGGTTCAGATTTTGCACTCTAGAAGATATAGTCATCTTCTACGATTTTGCGTTTTTAGTTTTCTCGTATCTTTAAAATTGTGGATGCCACAGATTTTCGCCCTTTGTGGGGGCGGAAGTGGGCGGGGCAAAGTTTTGAAATATTTTTGGAGCAGTGACATATCACAGAAGTCTGGATCCAAAACATCGTTGCTCTAGCTCTTATAGTCTTTGAGCATTAGGCGCTGAAGGGGACGGACAGACGGACAGACGGACGGACGGACAGACGGACAGACAGACAGGGCTCAATCGACTCGGCTATTGATGCTGATCAAGAATATATATACTTTATAGGGTCGGAAACGATTCCTTCTGGACGTTACACACATCCACTTTTACCACAAATCTAATATACCCCAATACTCATTTTGAGTATCGGGTTTAAATAGCTGTTTTTTTGAGAAAACATGAAAAATAGAAAAAATAAATAAAATAATTGTAATAATAGTGAGCTAATATAATATAGCTTCCTCTCCTTCTTCCCCCGGGTACATCCTTGAAAATAAATATAAGAACATTTTCAAAAAGAAGAACTAGCTTTAAAATACTGACATATTGCACTAGATCTGGCAACTCTAATTGTTTTGTTGTTTTGGTCTAAGAGCAGGTTTTCGGCCGTGTTCTTCATCACAATGATGGACAGCGGCGGCTGCTGTTGAATTAACTTAATCATAATCATCTTATCCATTAACGGACGCTGCGCAGCCGCCACGAAGCTGCTGCCGAGTGAGATCATCACACCGAGCCGCTGCCATTGTTGGCCGTGAAATGCAGTTTAAGATGCTCTCGATGTGGCACTGGCTGTGAAATCGAGTCGCGAAAGTGTGCGATTAGAAATCGAAACCTGCAACGAAGTACTTAAAGTTATGCTGCTCCTGCTAATACTCAACGGGCTGCTGTCTCTGGCCGTGGCCCAAACGACTCCGGACGCAAAGCACACGTTGTCTTTGCCGAATTTGCCGTCCGATCATCTCATACGCTACCTCAACACATTTCCAAAACTGAAACACCAGCTGCCGTCGAACGCCACGACCAGATCGACCTCGTCCGCCTGCTGGGGCCACGAGCGAGATTGTAGTGCTGAAGCACGTTTTCAGAATCCCCACTGTGCCGGGGATCACACTGGATGGGCGCGAAGCAAAGAGGCTCAGGTGCAGACCTTCTACTACCAGGCTGACTTCGGCTACATACAGCAACAGTTGATGGAGCTCACTCCGATGTGCATGCCCAAATACCTAACAGACTCTTCCTTGGAATGCACACGATATCTCCGCTTCTGCCGGGGACGAAATCTGCTCTTCGATCTCCGCGACGTGGCACAGCGAGAGGAGCGTATTCGTTACCACATGGATGTGCTGAGTCCAGGCCAGCTGCTAGGTCACTGTGATTTGAATCGAACACGTCTCTCGGCAGAAATGGAACACATTGGATCTGCCCTGCAGTCGTGGGGTCCTGAGCTGCGGAACTTTGCAGTCTTGCCGAAGCCCGTGCTGGAGAGTGGCTTGTGTGACCTGGTCGTGAATACGCCCACTTTCATTATGAAAATTGACGCTACGTACAATATGTATCACCATTTCTGCGACTTTTTCAACTTGTATGCTTCGCTCTTTGTCAACCAGTCCCACCCAGCCGCCTTTAACACCGATGTTCAGATCCTAATTTGGGAGACCTATCCATATGACTCGCCGTTCCGGGATACGTTCAAAGCCTTCTCCCAGCGACCAGTTTGGACCTTGAGTGATTTGGAGGGGAAGCGAGTGTGCTTTCGGAACGTTGTGCTGCCGCTGCTGCCACGCATGATCTTTGGGCTGTTCTACAATACGCCCATAGTAAAAACAGAAGTTTATTGATGTGGATGTACCTACTGATATTCTGCTTCTTACAGATCCAGGGCTGCTCAAATAGCGGATTGTTTCGCGCCTTCTCCGAGTTCATTTTGCATCGCCTTCAGATTCCTTTCAAACCGCCTCAACGCAGACTACGAATAACATATCTTTCGCGTCGCACAAAGTATCGTCAAGTGCTCAATGAGCAGGATCTACTGTCTCAGCTGGAAGAAAACGATGATTATTTGGTCCAGCGCGTCTCCTATGAGCGGTAACAATTTTTGAAATATAATTTATGCTTTTGTTGACAGCTGTGCACTCTTTGCAGGCTTTCCTTCACCGAACAGTTGGCCATCACACGAAATACAGACATTCTGATTGGAATGCATGGCGCCGGTCTGACACATTTACTCTTCCTGCCCAACTGGGCATGCATTTTTGAGCTGTACAACTGTGAGGATCCCAATTGCTACAAGGATCTGGCTCGGTTGCGGGGCGTTCGCTATCGTACCTGGGAGCAGAGGGAACTGGTCTACCCCCAAGACGAGGGTCATCATCCAGAAGGCGGCGCACATGCAAAATTCACAAACTATCGCTTTGATGTAGAGGAATTTTTGCACTTGGTTTCCCAAGCGGCCAGCGAAGTACGCACTCACAAGGACTTTCCCCAAGATATATTAGATACGCTAGAGAATCGTATGCCGCAGCACAACGAGCTGTAGTTCCTTTTTGTGATCCAAATGCATTTATTTGAATTATTTGCTCGACCCAAAAAATAAAACGGTATTATTTAAATTACAAGTGTGACCAAGTGGCGCAAACGCTCAAAAGCTGACTGCTTCGATTATAGGCTGATATAAATTCCAAGTGAAGATCAAAAAAAGGTGTAAGTCCACAGAATTTGGTTTAATTAGTTAGGAATTGTGATTAAATATATTTTCTTTCAGAAAGTGTTCACATTTCTGTGTCCTGCGCCAATCTGGTGATTTTCCCACTTTAAATCAGTTTACCAGCGCGGCCTTACCCGTTTGGGTGTTGCCGGATCGGAGCAAAGAGCATGCGTGAGGTCCCAGGGCTGCTCAGCTTCTATCCATTTAATTTATGGAAGCTTTCGCGATCTGATTTGCCTGCACTTTTTGCGACGTATGACCTACGACATTCGTAGGTGCATACATTACCGATATTGTCTTCGCTCCAGCACCATACTTTACTTCATCGGCTTTGACCGGGTAAGTTTTTCTTGCTTCCCCCCTTATTCATCTTTGCCATTGACTTTTGTTACCTTCATTTAAGCAGGTAGCCCTTTCCGGTGGCCAAGAATACCTCTTGCGTGCCGCGTGCCCGCTCCCATTGCCTATCAGGGACTTAACCTTTGGGTTTGAACACTGCCAAAGCTCTCTTCTCCGTCTTTCCATTCCGCTTGCCGTAGGTACCTCATCAGCGGGTGATTCCGCCGTAGATAGTCCTCTCGGAAGGTGCAAGGGATGTGCGTCTGGCTGGAATGCTGCGGGCCATAGCTATACTGTATCGCTAAGTCTTCAATGTGGCGTCCAGTCCGCTGCAGGGACATAATGTCAGCAGCCCCCTCATTCATATGCGCCGAATCAAACGCTGGGCTTCAGCTTCGACACACGTAAGTGAATCATTATATAATTGTGTATATATTTTAAAATATATCTTTCTTCACAGAAGTCTTATGCACCCTACGCTACGCTGCCGCAAGCTGAGTCCTATCAGATTTGTTCACGCCAGACGGAATCCTATTTAAGCATTACCGAGGCGTATTCGAGGCAGACCGAGTGCTACCCCAGCAAGACAGAATAGTTTCCCAGAAGGACAGAAGCGCATCCCTTGCAATCGCCATCGACAACTATCTGAAGGACTTTGGCTATGGCAAACAAGGGAGTGGCTACGCGGACTACTAGACTCTGGATAGATCTCGTTGTTGTTAGGTTTAAGGATATACAAGTCTAAATATACATACATATGTATATTGTAGTTATATATGATATATACAAATATACATATATAGATATAAATGTTGTCCACTTGTTTATTTATTTATACTAAGTTAATTTATTCTTAATACAATTATTGAATAATCATCCTTGCTGTATCCTTGTTTTGGAGAAATTATCCCGATTTCAAAAAGGCGTGGGACGCTCAGATCGGTTCCGAAATAGCGGAGAAACTAAATATTTTTTATTGGGGAAAATGTCCTGGATCCTTGATAAGGACTCTACCAATTCAAGGACATTTTTCCGATCACAGGAAGCCATCTCACGTTCCGATCGGGTCCCAAATAGCCGAGAAAACTAAATATGTATGGTTGGGGTCGTTGACATCCATACCGAAGGATCAAGGACATTTTTCTGATTTCGGGGGGCCACGGCAATTCCCCGATCAGGCCACAAATAAGGGAGAAAACCAGATATATATGTCTGGAGAAAATATCCTTGACCCTTGGTCCTTGATAAGGACTCCACCAGATTAAGGATGTTATTCCGAACACAGGAAGCCGTCGCACGTTCCGATCAGGCCATCAATAGCCGAGAAAACTAAATATGTATAGTTCGGGTCGTTGGAGTCCTTTCCGAAGGAACAAGGACATTTTTCTGATCACGGGGGGCCATGGCACGCCCCGATCGGGTCACAAATAAGAGAGAAAACAAGATATATGTATATGACTTGTTCCTAGATCCTTGTTCCTTGATAAGGACTCCATCAAAACAGGGACATTTTTCCGAACACAGGAAGCTGTCGCACGTCCTGATCGACATCCTTGATATCCTTGGTCCTTGATAAGGACTTCATAAAATCAGCGACATTTTTTCGATCACAGGAAGCCGTCGCATGTCCCGATCGGTCCACAAATAACGGAGAAAACATAACGGGTTTGTAATTTGTTATTTTTGAAAATGTAGTTCAAGAAATCACCGATATGGGCGCCACCGTACAAAACAAAAAAACTCGCGTCAAATGGCCAAAATATGGATGGGATACCAGGCGAACAGAAATCAGCAGAAGGTAACTGATTTTTTAAAATTTGTGGTCCCCCAAAAGTATGCACCGTTTTTTGCATTTGCTACAGTTGCTTGCTGCTGATTTCTGTTTGCCTGGTATCCCATCCAGATTTTGGCCATTTGACTCGAGTTTTTTTGTTTTGTACGGTGGCGCCCCTTTCGGTGATTTCTTGAACTACATATTCAAAAATAACAAATTACAAACCCGTTATGTTTTCTTCGTTGTTTGAGGCCCGATCGAGACATGCGACGGCTTCCTGTGATTGAAAAAATGTCCCTGTTTTGACGGAGTCCTTATCAAGGACCAAGGATCAACGATATTTACTCCGGACATATATATCTTGTTTTCTCGCTTATTTATGGCCCAATCGGGGCATGTCGTGGTCCTCCGTGATCAGAAAAATATCCTTGATTTGATGGAGTCCTTATCAAGGACCAAGGATCAAGGGTATTTTCTATTGACATTTATATCTTGTGACGGCCTCCAGTGATCGGAAAAATTTCGCTGATTTTATGGAGTCCTTATCCAAGGATCAAGGACATTTTCCCAATCAATAAAATGTCGCTTTCTCCGTTATTTGTGAACCTGTCTGGGCATACCACGCCTTTTTGTTGTTGGGATAGTTTCCCCAATACAGGATACAGCAAGGATGATTTTTCAGTAGTTTTATTTATAATAACTTTACTTAGTATAAATAAATAAACAAGTTGATTACATTTATTTCTATTAGCTAAATGTATAGACTTGTGTATCCTTAAACCTAACAGCAACGAGATCTGTCTATTGTCCCTCCCTTGGTTGCCATAGCCAAAGTCCTTGAGATAGTTGTCGATAGCCAGGTCGGAAGTTGACAGCTGCTGTTAGGATCGGGATCTTGCAAGGGATGCGCTTCTGTCCTTCTGGGAAACTATTCTGTCTTGCTGGGGTAGCACTCGGTCTGCCTCGAATACGTCTCGGTAATGCTTAAATAGGATTCCGTCTGGCGTGAACAAATCTGATAGGACTCAGCTTGTGGCAGCGTAGCGTAGGGTGCATAAGACTTCTGTGAAGAAAGATATATTTTAAAATATATACACAATTATATAATGATTCACTTACGTGTGTCGAAGCTGAAGCCCAGCGTTTGAATCCGCGCATATGAATGAGGGGGCTCCTGACATTATGTCCCTGCAGCTTACTGGACGCCACATTGTCTACTTTGCGATACAGTATAGCTATGGCCCGCAGCATTCCAGCCAGACGCACATCCCTTGCCCCTTCCGAGAGGACTATCTACGGCGGAATCACCCGCTGATGAGGTACCTACGGCAAGCGGAATGGAAAGGCGAGAAGAGAGCTTTGGCAGTGGCCAAACCCAAAGGTTAAGTCCCTGATAGGCAATGGGAGCGGGCACGCGGCACGCAAGAGGTATTCTTGGCCACCGGAAAGGGCTACCTGCTTAAATAAAGGTAACGAAAGTCAATGGAAAAGATGAATAAGGGGGGAAGCAAGAAAAACTTACCCGGTCAAAGCCGATGAAGTAAAGTATGGTGCTGGAGCGAAGACAATATCGGTAATGTATGCACCTACGAATGTCGTAGGTCATAAAAATAAATAAGGTAGCGGCTGTTGGCGCGTTCTCACGCATGCTCATTGTTCCGATCCGGCACCACCGAAACGGGTAAGGGGGCGCCGAGGTTCAGACGGTCACACTGCTGCTCTCTCCTGCAACGAAAAAATGAGTCGTAATTTTGAATGGACTATTGAAAGGTATGGACAACAGGCGAAAAGACCAAGACAAATTTCAGGGTTCGTTCTGGTCCTAACCTTGGCGTGTTTTGGCGAGCAATATACCTTGACGACAAATCGAATTTGTTTTCCAAGGTATATTAAGCAAAAGGGGTGGATTTGAAATGTATAGTTACAGTGTAGTTGCCATGTAATAAACTGAGCAGATGTCAAAGCAAAAACAAGTAAACAAGAGAAATAATCGAAACACCCACAAAACAAGTCAAACCCGGCAATATCCTAGCGGAAGATTTCTGTGCATTTATTTCACCGATAAGAAGACTCTGGATGTAATCAAAGATTATATTCAGCTGCCACAGCGACAGAAGCAGAAGTTTATAAAACCAGAAACAAATTTTGTGTAAATGTGATAATTGTTTGTAAGTTTGCCCTTATAATCAATCTTATTACGTTTATAGTATAATGAGCTGGTCTAGCTCATCGTCGCCTGCCGGTGCCTCTGATTCTCACTATTTCTATGACGCCTGTAACACATCTACCAAGTGCTACTTGTCAGCGCCCCTTCACATATTCCAAATATACTTGGGACAAGACACATGCAGGGCATTGGGACCAATGGAACAATATTTAAGCGTGGATCAAGAGGTATCAGTACTGAATAAAAAGTCATGGAATTCCATAATAGAAAGTGTGGATAGCCTTATTACAACGCTCCCGGTGATGATCGGGTTCGTACTTTCCCGCATGCTTTGCGGGCATCTACCGAGGCTGTCGACGCGCAGATTCCTTCTGGAGTACATGCTTGTTGCTATACCAGCTGTTATTGTGTTCACGGTTGGAAGTGATTTCTTTCACATGTACTCCATAGTATCTTTCCTGGCACTCGTATGGTATCTCCGTCCACGGCGAGAGCTTGAGTTGAGAAACACGAAGTATGAGGTGGGAAAGCGCCCTCTGGTCTTCACCCTATTAAGGGCCATCTGCAACTGTGGAACGAGTGTTGCTATCCTGATGGTGGACTTCCCAGTCTTTCCAGTCCGGTTCCGCAAGAGTCGAACGTTTGGGGCCTCTGCGATGGACATGGGCATTGGCATTTTTGTAGTCACAATGGGCTTGGTGTCGCATCGTGCCCGCAATTTAACCGATCTGAAAAAGCTGCCCAGGGCGGTGGTTCCTCTGCTGCTTTTGGGTCTGGGCCGCACCACCGTAATATCGATGATCAACTATAACCACGATGTGCACGAGTATGGTATACATATGAACGCATTCTTCATTCTGGGACTGACCAAACTATTTGGCAGCCTATGCAGCCTTCTGGCTAACTCTGATCTACAGCTTTTAGGACTGGCTATGGGTAGGTACGATTGAGAATGTTCTTAGCAAATCTCCAATAATTTTCTCCTCTCCCTTAGGCATTCTCTCTATGCACGAGCTTGTGCTGCAGTTGGGTCTATGCGACTATGTGATGTCGGATACTGTGCCGCGCCTTGGCTTCCTAAGCTCCAATCGAGAAGGCCTAAGCTCACTACCCGGCTGCGTTGCCCTTTACCTGTTCAGCATTTACTTCGGCAAGTGGTACACCTCTCAGGATCATCTTACCTACACACAATTGTGCTCAAAGCTGAAGCGAGTCCTCCTGATCGCGGTTGTTCTCTGGGTTATGGTAATCCTTAGTGCCTTCCTCTCGGGCATAGCTCGGGTCACATTCAACTTTGGATATGTGATATGGATTTTGTTCATCTCGGTGGTAATCATCCTTAACTGTGCGTTCTTCTTTGAGCTGGCTTTTGTGCAGACGCGGCCCACATTTGGAGATTGTCATAAAGAAACAGCCAATTCCCTGCCCACCTTTGTGGAGAGCCTAAACATGAATGGTCTGAGCTACTTCCTGCTGTCCAACTTCTTCACGGGAATGGTCAACATATTTTTCGACCCCAATAACCGCTCCAATTCTGAGTCCGTCCTTATACTGCTCGCTTATGTGCTGATCTGTTCTATGATGGTCTTTATTATGCATAAAAAGCGTATTAGGATCGCTTAGAAGTCTGTTAATAAATATAAATTTGCCAATTGTTTTGCAAAAAGTTTAACGTAGAATGCTGCTGGATGCGCCACAGCATAACAGACGGATGTGACGTGCCAATTAACTAATCCGTGGAGATTGACTCAAACGGCATAATATACCCATTGGGCAAGACCAGGAATACTATGACGGGTGATCCCTTGCCTACGATCTGGGAAGGGTCTTGCTCGGCATTAGACTCCTTGAATACCTCGTACACCTTGTAGCCATCCCTTGCGCTGACCAGTTTCGTCCACAGCCACTTGTTCTTATTGGACGGCGCAGAGCTGGCTCTTGTCGAGAGCTTCAACTTCAGTCGCGCACAAGTTAAGGCGCAGGTTGACAGCGATTCCTTAATGCGCTCGCCAAGAAGACATTCGCCGCCTATTTTTCGCGGCTCGAAGTCATCCACGGGATTGCAAAAGTCCACTCGCGGAGACCGTCGGCGCGGTAAAGAGGAGGTGGACCGATTGCAGCATGATGATGGCTTTTTGCTGGCTCTCTTGATGCAGGACGGCTTCTGCTTGCAAGGAGTTGACGGAACTTTCCGATAACTACAGTTGCTGGGAGGCCAAGAACAGCAGGTCACGGCCGAGGTAGATGGACAAACTAGACTTGGAACGGAGCCGCAGCTGGTCGCGGCGCGTTCTTTGTCGGGCGTGTCGCCTTCTGGGGCTTTAAATGCATGATTAATACTCAAAAGGGAATTGTTAAAGAAATGTCACCTACCACAAACAGACATTGCCAGCATTCGAATGACCTTAGTAGCCCCTGAATAGTATAGAATACGATCCAACGTCGCCATGATGATCTCATCTGGATAGGGTCCCAGCAAATCGTAGAGCGGCGCCTGTAGTGTCTTCTGGAACCTCAAGACTGAACCAAAATCGCTGCCGGTGCTCGTCGGGGATAGATAGTTCATAGTGCTCATCGATTTCTTCTTGTCTATTGTAATAAAAAATTTACTTCATTATTTCCCAAAATACTTTTTCTGAATGGCAGTTGTGTAGAATGATTGACTGGGCCCGGCCTGCTCCGTCAGGTGGCAAAGGGCAGATGTCAAAGGTGCGATATCCGGCTTAGGCGCAGGACCAGTTCAAGAACACGACGAGGGCGTCACAAAAGATAAGATTTCTATTAAGGAAATGACAGAAATTGCTTGCATTGAGCCAAGGATGGGATGAGCATACAGTCAAAGGTCGAGCTACTGGGCAGGGATATTTAATTTAATGGCGCAAACAAAGGCCAAATCAAGGCTGAGCCTTGGGGGGAACTTGCCCGAGCAGCAGCCGCTGAGTGGGCGCAAATGACCAGGAAAGAGCTTCTTATTTTAGGCGGAAATGGCAATTGAGGGTGTTTCGGTTTTGTCACATAACTTATGTGGACGCAACTGTCGTGGGACACGACGCTACAGCCTTAATCAGAGGATCAGAAGATATATTTACAAAACAAGAAATAGACCCGAAAAACCTATCCTCAAAACCTAAAATCTATCAACAATTGTAAAATCTTTAAAATATGTTCTATTAAAATCAGGTGGAGCGTTTTTAAGAATAGTGATGCTCGCTTAGAGTATCTCTTCTTCGGCCTGACAAAACTCGTATCAAATTTCTTCTGGTTTTTCCTGCCTCGAATGTAATTACGGCAACAGTTTCCGACCCTGAAGCGCCTGGATGAGTAACCTCTTCGTGGAATCAGTCCTGGCTTTGATGCGCTTTTAATGTCATATCCTGGCGGAGGACGTCGTCGCTGAATCTTATCTGATTTGGACCCGCACAAATGCAATTTCCGTCCAGCAATCGTGGACCCTCTCCCAGTCTCAACCCTTCTTTCACACGCCCACAATTTATGCTGAGTTAATAGTTGGCAGTCACTGTAATCATGTGTATATATCAGGGAACGCGGCCAGGCAGAGGTTAGGCAGGGGGTAGGCAGGGGGCAGTGGGCCCACCTGTTCGCACATAGGGTGGCTTTTCGGCTTTGATGACAGATTATTTTCATTAGCAAAACGGGGGAGCGGAGGCAGGAGCTAACAATGATGTCCATTTTGAGCATTCACGTGCCGAGCAGACAAGAATTATGACCGTTAATTATTATTTTCATGTTTTCCGCTCATTTTCGGTTGTATGTAAAACATGACAGGCATTAGGAGGGGATGGCTCCATCTGATTGATGTGGCCAACAATCAGGCCGAGAATTGGTTTTCCTGCTTTTCGTTCATTTTTCGGCCTGCCAATTTGCTGACAAGTAATTTTTTTGCACTGCCTCAAATCGGATTCCATTCAAAAGGGCTTTCATAAAAAAGTATATATAAAACTGGAGGAAATGTATCTGTGCATATGCATGAGTGTCTCCATGCGAGTGTATGTGGGGGTGGTCTTCGGAGTGGGTTTCGGTTTGGATGGGAGCTGCAATCACTGTGAAGAGGCTTAGCATGGGCCCAGGGGAAATCGCTTAAGCCGTTCATAATGAATATTATGACTGTGTGCATGTGTGTATTTGAAAGAATGTTAGTGGAGGGCGTGTGGGTCGGACTAAGCCAGGATCCAGGCATTCAAATGGCAGTCCACACTCGACAAAACAGAAATCATACTTTGACGGGCATTCATTGGGAACAAAGAAGCAAGTTTTTGAATGAATTATAGAAGTGTAGAATGAGCTTGCAATATAACGAATAAGAACTAGACTTTCTTCTAGTTTATTATTCAAAGGCACTTTAACATAGGGAACCTCTGGTACGATTAATACAGTCAGTACTCTACTAGAATATTAACTATCGTCAAACCAGCAGCATAAAATTCTTCTTGTATACTCGTATTAGGTCTGTAGAGCCTTGTCATTTCCCCCCAAACAGTAAGCACATTCGTACAATTGTTAGCATTTCCATAGAACTTTACAAAGTTATTGATTTGATATGGCTTCCCCTTCCTGACTGAGCTCTCTCCCTGAATTACCACAAGAGCTCATGACTTGCGATGGGCAACAGACTCCATAACAACTCCCATCTTAGGGCAAACAAAATGCTTATCGAACAACAGTTTTTATCGCAGCTTATGCGTCATGGCAGCGGGCCACAGACGCACCCTCCGACCCGCCATTCGAATACCAGTGTGCAATACTTCTGAAATGCTTTTAGTGAGCGAAATTGCGCAATTGTCAAGCAATCAATACGAGGCCAAAAAAGTGTTGAGAAAAACGAAGTATGACAAGTTGAAACGCGGCAGTCGACTACTCCGGCTATGGGATACCCGGTACTCACTTATAGAATTCCTTTTATCTCAATTTAGGGATACTCCATGACCGCTAGAGAGATATATACCGGAACAGACCATTGTTTGGACACTACGGCTGACCCCTTAGGCACAGAGCTTTGGAACAGATCCCAATTTCATAAGGGACTAGAGCTGTAGGGGAACTAGGTTTGTTCCTTAGCATAGAAGATGGTTCAATAGACCTTACATGTAGCAGTGAACAGATCTTAATTTCTTTAGAACGTACAGCATTGTGTCGGACAGTGCGTCCTACAGACACCACTTATGAATGCACAAACAGAATATCGTATGTATGTACATTGTATCCACGAATACCGTGTAGTAAAAGTGTGAGCTGGAGATGGACATGCAGGGGCAGACAATCGGTTGCCATATGAACGGACACGGTCGCCGTCTTGTTCTCGTCAAAATTGCGTTGCTGTTAAATCGTGCGGAAGCTGATGTGATTATCCCGCCCAGAGTGCATTGGGTCTCGTCTCCTAGATACGAGTACCCATGCCCGTCGTCAAGGTGCATACAGTAAGAGTGCTGCAATTAGCGACCCGCTGTTGAAGCTCCCCCGTATAAGGCCTTGAGGCAATCGCATTAAGTGATTTCAAGGTCTAAGCATTCTACTTAGTACTCGGGGCTACGAGGCCCAAACATTAAGAAGATTAATTCTCGAAATCTGATTTTGTTGTGGGTGATGTTGTTTTTTAGTCGGCAAATCTCAGATAACGTTATGCATCATTGTGTCAAAGAATTGACAAATCTTTGGCCATGCGAGCAGGGCGGAAGAAGGAAAAAATAAGGAATTGGAACAATTTCACATTTCTCAAGCTGAAATGCGAAACCAGGCCTGGTTTCCCCCTCGATTGTGCTCTCTAAAAGCAATCATTAAATAAGAAAAGTTTGCTGTCGGCCGAGGCAGGGCGGCACTTCCCCCATTTTGCAGGAAAACAAATGTAAGGAGTTTGATAAACTCACACAAAGACCCAAAACATTGCGAAAAAATCGCAATAAAAAAATCCGAGACAGGACATTGCCCCAACGTTGCCTAACCTAAGACCGCCTCTTGCCTCCTGCCTCTCCCCTCCCCTGTGACGCATTTAATAAAGCCGCACAAATGGAATGACTTGCCTCAGCTCTTCTTGCCTCGTTTTCTTCTGTGTGCTCTGATTTTGTGTGTGTCCCTTTTTGCCACACGACAGAGTCAGCACCGTAACCGCAACACGTTAACGGTTTCGGTTTCACTTTGTGATTTACAACAACAGCCTTCGGGGAGGAGAGACCCAGCAGCCCTCATTCACCCATCCACCAACGTCTGTTGTATTCTCTCCAGCTCAGCTCTGTTCTGCCTCTGCGCGCTCATGTGTGAAAAGGTACTTGGGGAGTTCCCCGAGTCCTAGCCGGCTCACTGGCAATTGTTTCTGCCAGGTCTCTGAGGCTTGCGTCTGTTGCATTTGTCTAACGCCTTGAACGCCACCGGAGAGGTAAGATATAGGAAGATGTATATCGTTGCGCTGATATCCCTACCCGATTCGGATACATATTCTCTACGAACGACTTTGCCAAGGGAAACGATGGTAGTTCTGATAACAATAGTATCAATAGTAAAGTAAACAGTAAAAAGATTATATCTCCTTTCCTAAAAGACGGACTTTCACAGTGGTTTGATTTCCTTAAAATTCAGTTAACTCACACTTAAATGTTATTTTGAATGAAGTGAATAGTACGCATGGTATCTAAAGCACTCTATACACCAAACTATACCATCTTATTTACGAATTCTGTCTTAGTAGAGTCTTAATGAAAGTTCCCAAGCCGTCACCATTTCCAAGTCATTAAATTCATTTAGAGCTAAATACCAAAGTTAAAAGACAAAAGTTTTCCTCGTGGCGCACCCAGATAGAGATGCACAGATACAGAGATATCAACAGGGGCGACGGCGTTGTCCCAACAACCTGGGACCGCAGCCAACCCTCCCACCCGTGGCATTCTTCAAGTGTTATCGGGCGGACAGCATCATGCATATATTAAGCGTAAATTGCCTCGGCATTCATTCCGAAGAGCTAATAGAAATATCTGCCAGTTAATTTAGCGTCATGAAGTTGCCCGAAAATTGGGCAGTGGAAATCATTTCTCCCTTCTGGTTGTCCGGGAGATGATCAGACTACCAAGTGGCCACGCCTGCTGTGGTCGGAGGGATGGAAATATTGAGCTCGCTTGATTCTCTCGCATAAATGTACCTTTTAAGAAATGGTGAGTTTTCTATATCAATATAAAACATTTTTCTGATAAAAAAGAGGATACGGTATGAATATTTGGTAGAGAGTGGTAATATATAGTTCCATTTAATCGAAGTATTTAAAAAATCTATCCATAGCTTTTGACTGATCTGATACTAATTTGGGAATGGGTACATTAAGTTACAGAAAACAGAATATTTTTCAACTGTCAGTAGAGTACATAGTCTAATAAGTACAATACTTAGCTGGACAAGAATCTTTGGATTTTATCCTATATTTTGAAGGACTAGCTTATAAATCAATTTAAATATTAATTGTAATTTTTAAATAAATATCTGATGAAAATCTCTATGCGCTATATCTATTCAACAGACATCTTCTTTTCAGATCATCAATGCTGATAAATAAATATTTATCTGAAGTTATCACTCCCAACTTCTTTCTTCGAGACCAGAAGTTTCT